TATCAGTGTTTTTATATTTTACTTTGTTGAAGATGATGTTTTGAAGAGCAATACTGTTTTGCGTCCTGTTCCCCTTCTTTAGATTGATGGGTGTGTATGTGTGTGAGTGTGTAGATGGCCTTGTCTACTAATGTAAAATGATTTGTAGTGGAAACATTTATATTTTTATAATAAACATTCTCAAAATATTTTCTAAAGAATGAATGCTAAGAAGAAAGTGTCTCGCTTTGGTGTTTCTTTTGCGCACACACACAAACACAGGCACACAACCCTTTCTGAAAAGACATACATTATAGAATTAATAAAGTGAGAAATAGTGTCTGTTAATCTATTGAAAAATGTTCAGAAAATTCTGAAAACATCTCCTTAATCACTTCTATGCTAAGATACTTAATTTATTTAATTAGTTGAACGAAAAGGGAAAACTAATTGTAAGAAAAAAAATGATTGTAAAATGTCAAGTGGTGTAAATTAATAATTAATTTTAAAACCATTTTTAAAGGTACAGGGTGTAAAAAAAAAAAGAGATATATTTAGTAGATTAGTTTATTTTTAATTAATTTGGGCTTTTTTATTTTAATCTCTACAAAATAAAATAAACTTTCCAAACTATTTTTAATTCATGATTTTTTAAACATCACTAAAAGGTGTTTTCAATTCATTGTCTGTATGAATTGTAATTTTTAAATAATATTGTTAATGACTTACTAGATTAAAAAAAAAAAAAAAAAACATGCTAAAGTTTTTTTTTTCTTTTTGTAATTGTTATCAGAATAAATACATTAATTTGTGCAAGCTCTTCATCAACACCTTAAAAAAAGTGTGAATATCAGCACTGTTTTGGGGCTCTCAGCAGGTGTGAAGGAGTCTGATCTGGGTCACAGATTCTGCTAGGCTCAGATAAGACACTATTATGTTTAGGCCTCAGGGAGCCCCACATGGCTGCTCTTTAGACGCTGCTCTGGACACATGCACTATACAGTGGGTGGCTAATAGATTTATTAAGGTCATCTCTGTGGTGCATGGACCGTAAATGAACACCTGCTGATGCACCACCCACCTTGGACAAACAACTATTATAGGGTCAATGATAAATAAGGATGCCTCAGATTATGAATAAGAGGGGGGGGGTCTAGTTTAAAATGTGTCAAGTTCTTAAAAATGTAATCTTTATATTGATGTTGGTATCACACATACAAAAAAAAAAAGTTTAATAAGTATAAAATGGTGTAACATAAATAAAATATATACACTACCATTTGAGAGTGACAGTAATATGGAAGCCTGTTTCTGCTATGGAATAAAAAATAAAAAGACTTGTTTATCTCACAATTGTGACCTTGGACCACAAAACCAGTCTTAAGTCGCTGGGGTGTATTTGTTGCAATAGCCAAAAATACATTGTATGGGTCAAAATTATAGATTTTTCTTTTATGCCAAAAATCATAAGGATATTAAGTAAAGATCATGTTTCAT